TAGAAACAAGCGGCCGGTCAGGCATCAAACAAGCCCAATTGAATAAAGCAAGTGCTGTAGAAAATGACAGCAGCGATGATATTAATATAAATATTGATATTAATGTGAAAGAGCACAGTAACCATTTGGCAGCCGGTCTGCATTCGCGTCGCCTGCCAGGGAGATGCTCTTTGCCGCACCAGCATCCAACCAAAGCATCTCTCCAGGCCCAGGCCTGGGGCACGGGGACTTGTGCAGGGGGCTAGGCAGGGGCACATCCCCTGTGCGAAATGCTACAGAGACAGATAGACGGTACCACACCTCCATCTCCTTCAGCACGGGGTGATCTTCTATGCCTGGGAAGAGAACCCGCATGGCGTAGGTGCGGTAATCCAGGAAGGGGATGCCAGCCCCATCCAGGTCATTGGTCAGCTCGTTAATGTCAGTCTGCAGCTCAGCGAAGGCTGGAGTGGGAAAAACAGAATTAAGCAACACATCCCAGAGTCCCAGCACACAGCATTGGCACCCAGCCTCCGCCACACCCCCCAGCACCCTATAAGTGGGACCCCTTAGGAGAGAATTGGCTCCGCATCCCTCCCCCCAGCAAGCTGTGATCACTGTCCCCATCGCACAGATGGAGACACTGAGCTGCAGGGCACAGGGATGACTTCTCTAGAATAAATCAAGTGGCAGATCAGGGAACAGGACCAGTGAGTCCCAGGGGTGGCTCAAATCTCCCCTGCTCAGCACTCACAGCCTCCCAGGGATGCTGAGGGCAGCAAGGAATGGCAAGGCTTGAACAAAGCCAGAGCTTCCGGGGGAAAATGTTAGCCTAAACCACAGGAATGTCCTCATTTCTTTTTGACCTAAATACTTCTCAAGAGAAGAGCTTGAACACACCCACTCCAGCACCTCCCGATCAGAGCAGAGGCAGCCACAAATCCCACGGGAACATGATGTGGGGGGGGTCCCAAACCTTTAATTGCACCTACAGGGAAAAGCTGACGGGAGAGGAGTCCTGGAGATGCACCAGGGAAAGGGGTTGGCGGGGGGAAGAAAACCCTCAGAAAAATCAAATTAACGGCACTTTAAAGGGAGCTGAAAGCCAGGCAGAGGACTGCAGGCTCGTCAGCCTGATGAGAAAAAAACAAACCGTCAGCTTGAAAGGCGTGCTATCTTATCTGTAACTAGTGGGACTAGAAAAGAGAAAAGGCAGGGAAGAGATTGTGCCTTTTAATTAAAAGCAGATCCTTTTATCTGCCAGCTGTGGAAGACAAGACACCAGCTCCCTCCCCTCTCCCTGTCACCAGTGCCATCCGCAGGCATCTGTAGGGATGGGGATTTGGGGGAGCAAAGGGTTTTTTCTTTCTTCCCCCTTATTATTATCTTGGTTTTGGTGCCTGCTCCACCCACAGTGCCCAGCCTGGCTGTGGCTGGCAGGGTTGGGGCCTCAGGAGCCAGCTCAGGGGTATAATGGACAATTAGGTTTTATCAGCAGGATCATACATGGAATTCTGTCCAATTTCACAGCATCCGTCTGTCACATAATGAGAGCCCGACTGCCCACTCGCAGGCAGCCCTCGCTACCCTCCTCATTCTCTTTTTTCTGTCTGGAGAAGCAGAGAGGAATTCCTTAACTGTAAAAATCTCCAGATCCCACCCAAAATGAGTTTGCTTCCTCTGACAAAGCAGCAGTTCCCATTCTCATTCTCTCTCTGGAAGGCAGTGGGGAGAGTAGGAGCACACTGAGCCTCAGGATGGTACAAGACTCTCCAAGACCCCCACGTTAGTGGCACAGGGATCCCTCACCCTCTTTGCACTCCAGGGCCACTCGGGACTCCAGGTTGTCCATCTGCAGCTGGAGACGTTTCAGGGTCCGGTCAGCATCCCGGGATTTGCGCTTGTAGGCGATGAGGACGATGATGATGATGAGGAGGAGCAGACCACCCCCACCACCGATCCCAATGATGGCGGGCAGGGTGAGCAAGCTGTCCGAATAGATCTGCAGTGTCCCTGGGGAGAACTCGAACCCTCCAGCTTTGATCTGTACCATGGTGGGGCAAAAAAAAGGACCTGGCATCAGGAAGCATGCACCCAGGGCAGCCCTCCCCACTGTGCCCACTGTGCCCACTGTGCTGGGAACTGGGGGATGACTCCCAGCCTGGGGAAAGGAGGATGTGGAAAACTTCAGGGATGGCAGGCACGGGTCTGGAGCAGCACTGCATGCTTTAATGGGATGCAGGACACACACTGATGGAGTGGACAGAGAATTTGATGTCTCATTCAGACAACATTACAGTAACAGATGGGATGTGAAGCGAGTTCCCCAAGGGTGGGAAGCCTGGCAAGGGACCATGCCAGGCCCCTTTCAACCTGGCAGGGTCCTGGAGGGTGAGCACCACTGCGCTACAACCCCACAAACAAAGGAGCCTTCTTCCTTACGGCGTGTGCTGGCACTGTGGGGAAGGGGTGGGAACTCCCCTTGCCTTGGCACTGGCTGTGCCTTGGCACCCAGCAGGGAAGGGAGGTTGCTGGTAGGGTCAGCCAGGGCCACCCAGGGCACAGGAACGCCCATCTAAGTGTGCTGGGGAGGGGACCAAGTATTTGGTCCTACCAAACATGTAATTAGGGAGAGCAATGCCCGAGGAGCAGGAAGAAGGCGCCTGAGGACGCTCCTGCATGTGCATGGACTATCCAGTCCCCATCCAAGTACGAGCGCACAGTGGGGCTGATGTTGGGATAAAGACTGAACCTCTGGGACACACAGGACAGAAGAAGCAAAGGCACCAGCGTTGGCACTTACCGTGACTTTGTGCTGGCCAGTGAGGTTGGGGGACTCGCAGAGGAGCTGGGTCTCAGAGACAGTCAGGATGCAGGGAGTGTCTCCGATCAGCACCGTGTAGTTCAGGCGGGAGTTACCAGCAGCTGGAGGGAGCAGGTTCCTGCCCTTTGAGGGAACAAGACTGTCAGTTCTCACGCAACAGGGAATGCTTACAAAACCCAACATAAAGCAAATGCTTGCTCTCGCAATGCAGGACTTAGCCTCAGGAGGGACAAAGCCTGGAGAAAAGGAGGCTCAGGGGAGACCTTATCACTCTCTACAACCACCTGAAAGGAGGGTGTAGAGAAGTCGGGGTTGGTCTGTTCAACCAAGTAACAAGTGACAGGACAAGAGGAAATGGCCTCAGGTTGCATCAAGGGCAGTTTAGATTGGATCTGAGGAAGAATTTCGTTCCTGAAAGGGTTCTCAGGCATTGGAAGGGGTTGCCCAGGGCAGTGGTGGAGTCCCCATCCCTGGAGGGATTGAAGAGTCATGTAGACGTAGTGCTGAGGGACATGGGTTAGTCAGTGTGAGGTTAATGACTGGACGCGATGATCTTAAAGGTCTTTTCCAATCCAGGCAACTCTGGGATTCTGTGAAAAATCCTCCTCCATGGAGGAACACATCCCTACACCTCTGCCCCCGGGCGCAGGCTGCCTTACCTTGAGGATGAGGGGAGAGCTGGGCTTCAGCTCCAGCATCCCCGTGGGGCTGAGTGGTTCGAAGACAGGGTCCGGGTAGTAAACAAAGTTGGTGGTGTTGACGATGAGCAGGGCCTGGACATTATCCATGATGAAGCCGATCTCATCCGGGCGGTCACCAAGCTCTGGAGGGCTCCGCAGGTGGTTGTTGATGGAGGGCGCATAGCACACCATCGTGGTGTCGTTGTAGACGGTGCAGTTCTGCAGGAGGCACGGACCAAGGTCAGACCCAGCTCCTGAGAGGGAGGTCAGGATCCGATCCCACAAGGATCTCCTGCAAGCAGTGGCTCTGGACGCAGGGTTTGGACCCAGGATCTCCTGTCCAGTGCCATTACATCAACAGGTGCCACATTCTACCCTGGGGCAGAGAGAGCCTCCCATCTGCAACGGATGTGTGGGGGTGGCAGGTGGGATCCCACTGGAGATGGACTCTGTCACTATCCTGCAGACACCCCACAAACCTCCCATCAGTTTTGCACACTCAGATCTCAGCCCTTTCCTGGAAGCACATGGCTGGAGGTCCTGCAGGGAGATTGGTGTCTCACTTTGGGTGGCAGCCCCTGGACCTGAGCACCTCCAGGCCATCACACCTGATGGGCAAGGGATGTGCTTTCTGCCCTGTGTTGCAGAGGGACAACATCCCTCCTCCTTGTGCTCTCCCCCCAGTCCCAGCCAGCAGCACTTACGTTCTCTGTTTCAGAGCTGCAGTACTTGGCCCGGATCCTGGGCTCTTTGATGGTGGCCAGGTTGGTGCCAGTCACAGTCAGCAATGTTCCACCACTAGAGACACGGAGACAATGGGTTAGGAAAGGCAGCTTGGCACTGGGTCCCCAATTCTGGAAGGAGAGCACCCATCCTCACCAGTCAGATGCCCATTTGCCCCAACCTGGGTGAACCACAATGCCCCGTGGACCTCTTATCCCACACAGATGTCACCACAGTCGGCAGGATCTGACATTCACCACCATTAAATGATCTCAGTTGACCCAAGGGCCAACTAGACATATAAAACCTGCTAATTAACACTAACATCCCAGCCTGTGTCCAAATTTGGGGTCTGGAGGTAGCTCCCAAGCTAAAGGAGACCAAGCATCCACGATGGGAAAGCACCCTGAGGAGGAGGAGGTCCTCTATGCCACCCCATTCTCCACCACACAGGCAGTGGGTGGCAGGGCAGGCTGAGCCCTGCTGGGTTTTCTCCATGGCTGGTGTTAAAAGCCCTGCAGTCCCAGAGAGCCCGGCCATGCCCCTGGGGAGCTCGCTCCTCATCAACACCCTGGGGAAGGTTTCCCTTGGCACCAGCACTTAATGGATTCCTTCGTCTCCTCTCCAGCCAATTCAAACCTTTTAGACAAATATGTAAACATTTAAAAAAATCCCCTGATGGGAAATATTTTAAATTTTATTCACCGTCGCCAAATGTCAAGCTGAAATTAAGCAGATCCAAAGCGCTCTCTGCTCTTGCCCCCTGCCAGGCTGAGCACTGCAGGCCAGGAGTTAGCAGGGCCCCCCCGGTGCCAAGCCATTGCTCACACTCCTCTCGCCACATCTCTGGAGCACAGCCCAGGGGCTATCACAGCAGCACTGGGATGTGCACATCGGGAGTGGGGATCCATGTGGAGAAGAACCTCCCCCTGCATCCCACAAGCTCCCTGCAGACATCCCACAATTAACCTGTTGATGCTCCACTCAGGATCAATCTTCTGGATGGTGGGGTCCTCCGTGTAGTTGTACTTCACCTCCGGGTTGCTCAGCTCTGCCCGGTTGATGCTGATGAGGATGGGGGAGCCGCCACCGGATCTCACGGGCGCTTCTCCTGGGGCAGAAACACACAACCCATCAGTGCCCGGGCAGGAGGGAGGCAAGGGGAGAGGAGGGAGGGAGGCCAAAGAGAGAAAGGAGGAATAAAAGAAAAAAAAAAAACAAACAAGAAATGAAACAAAAGGCAGCCGGGAAGGGCTGAGCAGCTCCTGAGCGCTCCCATCGCGCGGCTGCCGCAAACAGCAGCGATTAGGGCTGATAACCAGTAATTACCGCAGGAAAATATTTAAAGAGCCGCTCCATTATCATCCCTAATCTAAAAATTATCCACTTCATGCCTCAGGGCTTTGTGCTTTTAGAGAGAAATCCCTGTTCTTTAGGCTCTTCCTGCAGCCTCTGACACACAGAGGTTTCGGGGGAAGATGCCTCCAGCCACTCGCGGGGTTTGGGTTCTGGGGGCTCTCCTTGGTCCCCA